GCACCCAAAGGGAGAGGTAGGGGCCCTGGTCCTATGGGAAGCCTTTCCTTGGAGGGGCTGGGGGAGCCCCACTGGCTTGGCTGTTGCCCAGGAGAGGGCTGTTGCCCATGAGAGTTGCCGAGGCCCCTGACTGGGCCATTCTGCTCGTCTCTGCAAGGCCTTTCTGGGAAGCGGGTGGGCACATGCACCTTGAGGGCCGGCCCGCCCCCTGTCCTCTCTGGGTGAGCGCCAGCCACCCTCCCCTCAAATAACTGCCACCGGCTGAGACGTGGGCAGTCCGTACCGGGAGGCGAGGCTCTGTTCTCCTAAAGCCAGGAAGAGGGGCACCTCAGGCCAGGCCCTGGGGTGTGTGTCGAGGGGGGGGGGGGAGAGGTGGGGCGTTGGTGGGTCTCTGGGGGCAGATACACCGAATCGTTTAGGCACTGCTCGGCCATAGGTCCCGTCCTGCAAGAGGAAGGAGTGGCATGCGATGGTAGATTCGGACCTGCTGGCTGTGCCCAGAGACTGCGGCTTTGGGTTGGGGGTGACGTTAGGGGTGGGGCCATGGCAGGGTGCAGACGGTCCTCACCCCAGGATTCACGTCGGGTCTAGTTGGCCTGAGTCTGTTTTTACAGGTGGAGGCTGAATCCCTTAGGTTGAGATGGACAAACCACACACGGAAGGCGCCACAGGCTCCCACATCTCGTGGCCAAAGGTCAGGGCGGCACAGGGGCCTCCTCTGAGCCTCTGAGCGCCAGGCCCCGCGTTCACAGGAAAAGGCAGGCTGTGCGGACAGCCGGCGCGGTGGGACCCCCTCCCGGGCATCGCTCCGTGACGGCTCTCAGGTCCCGTCATTACAGTTTCCTGAGCCTTGGCTTCGTCGTCGGCGAGTTGCCATGGGCAATACTGACTTGTGGTGGCGGTGGCATTGCTGGCCTCCCATACGTGCAGGGATCTTCCCTGCCACCATTCACAGCTTTCTGAGCACCTCCTGTGTTCAGAGCCCGGGGTTGGGACTGGTTCGGGGGAGCAGCATCAGACAGGAACCCTGCCCTCACAGCCCAGGAATCAGTGCAACACCGAGTTTGGCGAGGCCCCAGGAGCACACGCTGCAGAACAGGGAGCGGGGAGGGAGGTCCCTTTGTCCCCCCACCCGCCGGGCTTTGTATTGGGTGCTGGAGCACCCCTGAAGAGGGTGTCCCCCAAACCCAGACCCAGACCCAGACCCAGACCCAGACCCGAACCCAGACCCAGACCCGAACCCAGACCCAGACCCGGTACCGGACCCAAACCCAAACACAAACCCGGACCCAGACCCAGCTTGTGCCTGCGGGCAGGCGGGAACGTGGCCTCCATGAGGACAGGGCTTGCTGCTCTTGGCCTCCCTTCGGGCAGGCCTGATGCTGGGGCTCCTCCTTCTCCAAGGTCTCCAGCTCCATGTGGGCCCTGCAGGCGCGAATGCCAGGGGGCCCGGCGTCCTGACGGGAGCCCACACGACCAAAGGAAGTTCTGGGACCATGCTGACACCTCTGGGCAGGGCCACGCTGTGGAGGCAGGGGGAGGGGCGGGAGGGTAGGGGGGTGGGAGGGGAGAGCAGGGGAGGAGTAGGAGGGGGGAGGGGGAGTGGAGGGGAGGGCTGGCCCTGGGAAGAGGTCCTGGAGAGGGAAGAACAGGTTTCTCAGGATCCAACAAGCATTTCTGGAGCACCTGCTGGTGCCCTCTGCCCCATTTGGCCAGTAGCCTCTTCTCAAAGCTGGAAGTGGTATGGTGCCTGGGCCCTTGTTGCCAGATTTACCTGAGCCCAGCCACCTGCTGGCCCAGGAGGAGGAGGATGGGGGGAAGGCCATTTGGGAATCAGCAGTGAACGAGGCAGACAGAAGTCTCTGTTCTCACCGTGCTGACATTACTGTCAGGAGAGACACATGATCCGCAAGTGAAGTGTATGTTAGGTGGCGACAAATGGTAAGGAGGAGAGACGAGCAGGGCAGGAGGGGAGAGGTATGTGTGGATGGTGAGGTTTCGGATGGGGTGACCAAGGAGGGCCTTGTTTAGCAAGAGCAGGCTGTGTGGCTCCCCGAGGGAATAGCAGGCGGGAAGGCACTGAGGTGGAGTGTGCTTGGTGGGTGTGAGGAATCCAGGCTGGAGAGCTGTGTGAGCGAGGGGGGCAGGGAGAAACAGGTCACAGGTGAAGAGGGAGTGGACCTGGGGCCTTCTCCGTCACAGGAAGGACTCTCCTGGGAGCCAGAGGAGGAAGGATAAGATCTGCCTTGGGTTTTCACTGGGCCATTTGGCCGCTCTGCTGAGAACAGACTGTAGGTACGTACGGGCAGGGTCAGAAACAAGGAGACCAGTTCGGAGGCCACCCCAGTGTTCCAGGTGTTTCATTTCCCACTGCACCCCCAGCTCGGGGCCTGCTTCCTGGCACAGAGCAGGCACTCCACAGATGCTGAGTGATGTGAATTCGGGGTGTCCGGATGCCGCGCGCCATTGGGCCCCAGGGAGAAGGTGTAGAAGGGCAGGTCCCAGGTACTGCTGCTGGGGTTTCTGATGGGAAGAGGAAGCTGGATTTGCAGTTACAGCCTCAGGGCTGGCTTTGTGGGTCAGGAGTGTGTTTGTCTGTAAATAACAGAGACCGGCCAGCAAAGGCTTACACAAAGAGCGCTTTATTTCTATTCACAAGAGCTCTGCAGGAGGCAGGTTGCAGGCGTTGGCTTGGTCTAACGATGAGGAGGTCAATGTCTTTGAGATGCTTTTGGCCTTTTCCTCTTTGCAGCGAGAGGGCTGCTGTGGCTCCAGGCATCACATCCCCAGACAAGGCGGGAAGAAGCCGGCACGCATGTCTGCCTGTTTTGTCAGAAGAGCATCAGCTTTCCAGAAGTTCCTGCAGACTAACATTTCACTGCCCGTCCCTGGGCACAGCTCACCCAGGCTGCAGAGGCGGCAGGGCCAGGGAGAACCTGCATGGCTCTCCACAGTGGGTGGTGACCGGAGAGGAGTGGGGACTGACCCCTGGGGAGCCGACAGGGGTGTCCACCGTGGCTTCAGTGGGACTTGAGGTCCCTCCTGCTTCTGGGGCTTTTGTCTCCGTGACTGGCCACCTCCCGGAAGCACCCCTGGCAACACTGAGGGAAACCCCAAGGGGCCTGTTCCAGGCTAGCCACCCTCTCATGCTCTCTTCGCATCCCAATGACACATCGAGCCCGAGGCGCTTCTCTGGGGGGGCAGCGGTCTTTGTGAGGGAGGGTGGGTCTTGAGCATCACCTCACCTGGCAGATGTTTAAAACCGTGGTACCGCATCCTCGCAAAAACAGTCACTTCCGAGAGCCTTTCCGAGCTGGACTTTGCACATGCACACACACACACACACACACACCCATGCACGCATACACCCATGCATGCACGCTCGCAGCCTGTTGCTATCCACATTTCGGTCCCCCTCAGAGTACGCAGTCAGGAGGGAGACCGGGGTGGCCTCTCTCTTGCAGGTCCCACCGCTGGCCAAGAATCCCGGGCATCGCCGTGGAGCTGTGTCTGGGTGAAAAGAGATGCTCCCAGTCTCCCCCCCCCCCCCCCCCCGGACCGTAACCGGTGGCTGACAAAGGCAGGGTTTGCTTTCCAGGGAAGAAAGAAACAGGCCTGGTTTATTCTTTAAATCTTGAAAAATGGGGGCAAAAGGTGAAACCCTTTGGTCTTGCGTGAGAGGCTTTGGGGAAGCAGTGGGTGAGGTCCCTGGAGCTGCCCTGGGGGGTGGGTAGGGGGGACAGGGGTTGGGCAGACGGGGAGGGGGTAGGGGGGGGTCTCAGGTTCAGTGGCTGAAAATGGGAACTCATAGGAGCCAGACCGTGAGGGTGGCAGTGGGGTCTGCAATCACTGTTTATATTTCCAGAAACCTATTGGAAACCACTGTGTATGCGCTCCCCATGGGCTTTGGATAAAAAAACAAAAAACAAAAACAAAAAACAAAAAAAACACATTTTTTTTTTGGCTAGAATCGCACCACAGCAGTGCGGTAGAAATGCAATTGGCAGTTCTGGACTGAGACGTCTGCTGAGAACCCGTCATAAACCTGACACGACCTGCTACCCTTACCTCCTTCAGCCTTCTCGGGCCTGGGGCCCTGGGTGGGCTGGCCACAGAGAGCCCTGAGGGCTGCAGGGGAAGGTGGGAACCCCAGGGCACAGGCCCGAGGGACTCGGGGGGCAGGATGGCTTCGGGGTGATGTTTCCGATGGTTAGCACCCCTGGCGCTCCCGCCTTGCTGCTTGGTGTGGCCCCAGAGCTTGATGGAAATGCAGGCTCAGCCCCACCCCAGAGCTACAGACGCAGAAGCCGTGATTTAGCAAGCTCCCAGCCAGTCGCGGGCAGGAAGGCGTCTGCGAGGCACGGTGGCAGACTCCCGGGAGCAGGAGGCTGCAGCCTGGCTGCTGCGGTTACAGGGCCGGGACCAGGGGCCGGGGAGCGGGGCTGGAGGAGGCTGGCAAATCTAAGAAGCTGTCTTTGTTAGTGCCCTTTCCGCCTGCCACGATGGGAGCCACCTGCGGGCTCCCGCCCTTCCTCCCAGGGGCAGCCGCACTGGAACCTCTTCCCCTCGGCTGGCTCTCAGGACAGTCGCCTCACTCCCGGCTGCAGGGACATTCTCCAAGTTCTGTGGGTGGCGCTGCCCAGAGGCTCAGGGTCCCCTGGCCAAGGAGGCCTCGTCCCTCCTTCCCGCGCTGCCAGGAAGGGCTCGGCAGGGCTGCTGGGAGCTGCCCTGGGAGGTGAGAGTTCCCTCAATGGTTTCCTCTAGGAGCAGGAGGGGTGCGTGCTCAGAAGGAAGCTCCTGTGAGCTTCTGGACCCCAGCTCTTTCCGGGGGCGGAGGAGGGCGAGGCAGGGCTTCTGGGACAATGCCGTTTACAGGAGCAAGCATGGACACAGCAGATGTCCCCAAACCTGGGGGCTCGGGGCTGCCAGATACAGGAGGGCTGGAGGAGGGTGTGGGAGCCGGGGGAGGGCTGCGGGGGGCCGGGGTCCCCCAGCCGGCCCTACAGCACCCTCTCTTCACTGGACAGCGTGGCGATTCTCCGCAGGTTTTCCCTGACTTTGATGAATTCCGGGGCGTGGTCCTCTTCCTTCTCCGGAGGTTTTTCCAGCTGGAGGAGAGAGGAGAGGTATGACTCAGGTGGGGCTAGGGAGATTCCGAGGCTCAGGGTTTGGGCCCAGGGTCCTCTCTGGGGAAACAGAACCAGGGGCCGGTTTTGCCACCAGCCTGGTCGCTTGGGGGACAGGTCATGAGACCAAGTTCCCCCTGTGAAGCCTCTTCAAATTGCTTACCTCAGTGGTCGGCAAACCGCGGCTCGAGAGCCACACGCGGCTCTTTGGCCCCTTGAGTGTTCCAACGCCACTTCTTCAAAATAGACCCGCCCACGCCGAAAACCGACTTCTGCGCACGGGCCACGAAATTTCAGTCGCTCTGTACGTGTGCACCCGCACGTGGTATTTGGTGGAAGAGCCACCCTCAAGGGGCCAAAGAGCCGCCTGTGGCTCGCAAGCCGCGGTTTGCCGACCATGGGCTTACCTCCTTCGGCCCTCATCTCTCAAATGGACACCTGGCTACCTGGCTCAGGGGCAGTTGTGAGAATGAAGTCAGAATCAACACGCAATCAATGGGGCCGATGAGGAGACGGAGGTTCAGCGAGGGGAAGCCCCAGCCCGAGGTCACCCAGCGAGGCGAGGGGCAGAGCGAGGACTCCGGCCAGCGGGGGACCCGCGGTCCAGCCCTCATTCGGCTCCACTGGCCCGCTGCGGCCCCACCCCGGCTCCTCCTGGGGCCCACGGGCATTCTTGGGGGACGAGGGGCGGGGCCGCGGGGCCGTGACCTCTCTCACCTGGCTCAGCCTCTGCTGCCGTCGCAGCAGCTCCTGCTCGAAGGGACACTGCAGCCGCTTGGCCTCCAGCTCCTCCTTCTTCTTCTTGATGATCTGGTTCCGCCTGCGGTGCTCCAGGACCCGCTGCAGCTCGGGCTTGCTGTCCACGCCCAGGCCCCTGGGGCGGGGGCAGCCGTCAGGAGACCCCAATCCCCGCCCCCGTCTCGCACTACCGTTACCTCCTGCAGCCCTCCCGGCGGCCCTTACTGCCCCTGCACGGAGACGTGTGTGCGTGCGTGCGTGTGTGTGTGTGTGTGTGTGTGTGTGTGTGTCTCCCACGAGTCCAGACCCGGTCCAAGCCACAGATGCAAGGGCCGAGCGAGGATTTGCACCCCGGCCCGGCTGACTGCCGGGAGCAGGTTTAGGTTATTTCGGGTTAGTCTCTCGGACCATTTCCTAAGGGTGGAACTGCTGGGTCAGTCTCCTTTAAGAGGGTTTGGACGACTGTCCACTGGCCCTTTAGGAAAGATGATCCCATTTATACTCTGTGAACAGGGTACAAGGGCACCTATTTCTCCCCGCGGTCCCCACCCAATCCTTTCGTATCTGTGAAGCCGGTGGGCAAGAAATAACACCTGGTTTTCACTTGTGTCTTTGATGATTAGCAGAGCAAACAGCCTTTGATTTGTTTACCAGCTCTCTGCATGTCCAGTCTCTTGCTCATTTATTTCCTTATGGATTTATAAGAGGTATGTATATATTAATTTTTGTCTGTTATTGATATTGCAAACATCTCTCTTGACTTGTCCTTAGGTGTTTTTTTTTTTTTTTTTAACTATGGTAGTGGTTTTTGGCATTAAAAGGGGTGATTCTAAAAGGCAACCGGAGAAATACTTCTGATATACAAAGAAGAAAGCAAACACCACCAAGGATACAAGCTGTTATCTGCGGGAAGACCCTTGGCACACAGCTGAAAACAAGAATGCAAATCCCCGCCCGCGCCAATCCTAGAAGCGGCCAGGAGAGGGAGCTGCGAAGGCGCCGACGCCTCGTTCTGGCCCTGGTGAGCCGGGACTATTTTTCAGGTCTGGGAGCAGACAGAGGCTCAGCTTCCCTTTCCCCTCCTCCACATTCCTTCAATTCTATCCCTGCCCCAGGCTGTCTCTCTCCCTGCACCCCCCAGCCTCCTACTCCATTCATGGCCCCTCCAGGGTTGTGACACTCTTGCTTGGGACCCTTCCCAGGACAGCACGGCTCCTCTGGCCTCCCTCACACTTTATGCTCCGACCACACTGAGCGATTGGTGTTGACAGCCAGTTGCACAGGCTCACCCATCTGCTGGAAACATACTCCATGGGACCACCCATCCTACCATCTGGCTATGCATCCACCCCCTCTATAAGGGCAGGAACATTCCTTCTGGAACCCCCAGGGTCTGGCTTGGTGCTTGGCACATAGTAGGTGCTCAGTAAAAGTAGGTCCGGCACACAGTGGGCAGCTGGATGGGAGAGCAGGGCTTTCGGACCTTCACAGTCTCTGTTGGTCACCATGCCGGATACCCTCAGCCCTCCTCACGCTCCAGGAGCCCCAGAATTACCACCAGGGGGACCCCTTCAAGCCCCCGCAGCCTGAGCAGGTGCGTGCCAGGCTGAGGCAGCCGACGCCGTCCCCACCTCCTGTGGTTCATGAGCAGCTCTCGGTGCAGCTCCTGGTGGCTCCGTGAGGCCTTCACGGGGTTCAGCAGCTTCTTGGGCTTGATGAGCTCCGGGTTCCACTCTCTGTACTCGGGCCGGGCCATCAGGCCGCCGATGTCTGCCCGCTCCCTCTGGATCTCGGAGTACATGGAGGCTGTAGGGACGGGCGGGGGAGCGGGTCAGAGCAGGTCACACACGCACCTACCCCCGTGGGCACGGGGGGCAAGGGTGTCGGTCGCCTGGGCCACCTGCTCCTGTGTGGCTCTGGGCAGAGCAGCTGGCTTTCTGAGCCTTAGTTTCCTCACCTGCGAGCTGCTAAGAACTGAGCCCGTGCACAGGGCTGTGGAGAGGGCAGGAGATGGTGTTTGTAGAGTGGGGTACAGAGGCCAAGAGCGACTGGGCCACAGAATGTGGGTTGACACGTAAAATGGTTTTAACCCGACTTTGAGAAAAACACTTTCCCTCCTGCGAAAGGGATTGTGCTTGAGTTTCTGTTTCTCAATAAGTCCAGAAAAAGAAAAAGAAATTATGTAAAAAGAGCAATATGTACTTGTTAAAGACAATTTGGATGAATGCTGTAATGAAAAGAAAACATCACCCTTATTGTTCAAATTCCCTATCCTTAAACCGAATGCGTCTGTGGAAGTGACCAGCTTTTCCCTTGCCCCGGAGCAGGGAGCAGAGTGTGGCATCCCGAGACTGCCCTGCCGCCAGTTACAAAGGGCGGGTAGTCGTACGGAGCAGACGTCTGGCTTCGCGATGGCCTCCCGGCCACCAGAGCAGCCTGAGGTTGGCTAGCTGACGAAGGTCAGGCAGAAGGGCTCCCTCCTCTACAAGTTGGCTACATGTCCCAGAAGTGCTCAAAAGCAAATGGAGAGAGAGAGAGAGAGAGAGAGAGAGAGAGAGAAGAGAAGAGAAGAGAAGAGAAGAGAAGAGAAGAGAAGAGAAGAGAAGAGAAGAGAAGAGAAGAGAAAAGAGAGAAAGAGAAGAGAGAGAGAAGAGAGGGGGGGGGTTTCTTAAGGAAAAGTCTCGGGAGGGTGACACTGCCTGGCCCATCAGGTGCTTATAGTAATGAGAATGGACATTGGGCATTGGCTCTGCCCCCTTCCTGAGCCCTGCTTTTCTGAGGTTAAGCTTCTACTACATGCCAGGCTCTGGCAGTGTCTGGTCTTGTACACAGTAGCCAATTAATGTTTGTTGGAAATGGATCATAGAAACTCTGAGGTTAATAGAAACAGGTGAGGGCACCAAGGCTCACAGAGGTTGGTCTTGAGGAACCAGCGCCTTCAGGCATGGGGTTTCCATGTGACCACGGAGGGGCTGTCCCCACTTCACACACCAGGGGCAGTCTCCTCTCTGGAGGGCCACCATGATGGCTTTGGACAGACACTCCCCATCCCCCCTCACTGGGAGCAGATGGAAGCCGTTCTCGCCTGACGGGCCGTACGATGAATCGGAGTTCTCCAAGCAAACTGGATGGGGGTGGCAGGTCTGTACAAAGCCCTGCAAGGGGGTGATAGCTCCGCGGGCTGGGCACAGCAGAGGTCTGATGGGTTGTAAATTGCAATATGACATGCCAGGGAATGCAGGCATCAAAGGGAAGACTATGCTTTGCAAATGGGGCCCCACAGAAATGTCTGGCATTGCTATGACTGCCCACTGCAGGGTGCCTTTGGGAGGATGAAGAGAGCTCACACCTGTGAGAGAGCCGTGTCCGCTGGGAAAAGTGTTAGTCATTACAAGGTATTCTGGAGGGAGTCAGATTGAGTGTCAGAGCATAGAGACATACTTGCTATTTTTTTTTTTTCTTGAATTCACATTCTCAGAACTGTTTCTGAAACGAGAATTCTAATTCATTTCCTCTCTTCTCTTTTTTCATCACACTGTTTGTTTGTTTTTGTTTGTTTGTTTGTTTTTGTTATTTTATTACACCTGACAAAATAAACAGTTTGGCTAAAGCAATTCCCTCCCTGTTTAGAAATGTGACTATTTCCTTAGCCGATGGGATGAAGTTGCCTTAGAGCACTCTGATTCAGATTGGCGTTTTGGAAGTCCCCCACGATACCTATTCCTGTTACCAAGGCCCATCAATTGTTTATTGAGTAATCCTCAGCTGTAGTCCATGCAGGCCGCGGTCACACCACATTTTACCCGGCAGCTCCCTTAGCCCCCCTGAGCCTCAAACCTCCCAGTGCTTCGTAATTGTAATCAGTCACACCATCTTCAAAACAACGAAGTTGTTTTGCAGCCAAAGCAATAAGGCAGGATGCAGAAATAAGTTGTGTCACTTCAGGAGAAGGCAGAATTACTATTTACATAAGCTATCACTATCTATGAATATAGATGCATGAACAGAAGAGCATTTGGGACTAACGAGAGAGTTCAAAAACGTGGTCACCAACAAAGTAACCACACAAAACCAAGAGCCCCCACACCACAGGAACGTGCGCGATATAAACATTCATTCTGCCATCTGTTTGAGTTCCTATCATTTCCCAGGAACTGTGGTAGACACGGGACACACAGAGGTGAACTAAGCAAACAAGGTTCCTGCTCTCACAGGCTGACAGTAAACAAGCACACCGGCCAACAGAAAGAAAGGATTCCGACTGGCCGGGAGCCTGCTGGGGACCCCGGGGGCTAAGACCCACAGCCGGACCCACCGTCAGCCAGGTGCAGGGAAGGGTCTCCCTGAGCAGCGACATTTAAGACCCGAGGAGGCTGAGCGGGGCAGAGGGGGCAGCATGTGTGGCTCCCGTACCAAGAACAAGCCTGGTCTGTTCAGGGAACAAAAAGGCATAGTGTCCCTGGAGTGGCGTGAGCGAGCCGCCGGCAGGGAGAGTGGCGGGTGGACGGGTGGGTTCAAGTCCGGGAGAGATGGCCTCTGATTCGCTTTAGAAAAGGCCATTCTGGCTGCTGCGTGTGGGGAAAGTGTCAGCAGGTTGGAAGAATATTTTTATCCGACTTCGTTTCCTTTCACTGCCCACGGGTGGCCTCTCTCTCTCCAGTTCAATTCCAGAGGAAAACGTCTGATTGGCCAGGCTGAGAACCTTCACCCCACAGACCACCAGCTGGCCAATGTGTTTGCTGCCTGGGCGGGCCCACCGCACCGCACCCCACCCCACCCCACCCCACTCCACTCCACCCCTCAGAGTCTGCGGAGAAGAGGGTTCCCTGCATTTTCATTTTGCACTGAGCCCTGCAAACTAGGTAGCTAGTCCTGCATCCCAGGTCCATTCCATGAGCAGCTCTGGCTCCAAGATCTGCTCCAGACTTCGTTCTTTCTTTAATGAAGTCAGCGGGGAGCTGCAGGGCTGGTGTTTCTCGGAGGCCTGGGCGGTGGGGTGGCTGGGTCAGGGATCCTGAAGGATGAGGCTGGTGCTCCAGCCCACAGCTGCAGGCTGCGAACACCAGAGAGGGCGCTGAACTCCCGCAGACAACAGTGTGGGGGCCGGGCCAGGGCTCAGAGGGCGGCTGGGCCTCCGTGTGGAAAAGATTACAGAGATGCCGGAACAGAGGGCTGCTCAATGACGTGCTGGTGACTCAAAACATCTGGGTCCCCTAGGGCCATCCTCAGGACTGCTCCGGCCAGTCTCTCAGGGAACTGACCATCATGGTAAACAAGTACACCGAGGTAAACAAAGAGGTGAGGCGAGGTGAGGTGAGGTGAGCAGGTGGTCTCTGGAAAGAGGACAGATGGACGTCCCAGGGAAGTGCTGGAGGGGAGGAAGAGGCAGTGTCAGAGAGAGTTAAGGGGCCAGTGCAGTGTCAGAGAGAGTTAAGGGGCTAGTGCAGTGGTCGGCAAACTGCGGCTCGTGAGCCACATGCAGCTCTTTGGTCCTTTGAGTGTGGCTCTTCCACAAAATACCACGTGTGGGCGCACACACAGTGTGACTGAAACTTCGTGGCCCATAGGCAGAAGTCGGTTTTTGGCTCTTAAAGGAAATTCCAATCGTTGTACTGTTGATATTTGGCTCTGTTGACGAATGAGTTTGCCGACCTCTGGACTAGTGAATACCGTTCGCTGGCTGTCGAAGAAAGACAGGAGGAAGCTAAGGTGTACGGATGCCGGGGCCATCAGAACTGGATTGGCTCTGGCAGCCCACTCGTCACGTGATGCCTAGGGTTCTCTCCACGGGAACAGCAGCGCCGAGTAGCTTCGGAAGCTGCTCTCGATAAGCAGTCTTCATGAGGTCGTTGCAAAGTGAAGGAGGTGATGAACTCAAAGTGCTGGCTACAGGGCAGCCACATACGCAAGGCGGGGCAGGGCTTCACGCCTGTACATTCAACCGAGTAACTGAGTGTGGGCCCTGGAGCCACACAGCATGGCCACCTGCTGGCCGTTAGCCATGGCCGCTAATCAGCCCCATCCCCAGTCTCGGACTGAGCCTTCTCGTCTTCCTTAAAAGCTGTGCTGGTTACACCAGGGATTTCAACCCTGGCTGCACACGGGCATCACCAGTTTGAAAAATACCCGTGCCCGAGCGCACCCAGGCATTCTGGTTTCATTAGCCTGGAAGGCAGCCTGGCTTTGGAATGTTAACACAGCTCCCCAGGTAATTCCAATCCTCAGCCAACTCTGTAAACCGGGGTGAAAAAGCAAGCTTCCTCGCTGGGGCCCGAGTGACTTCAGTGGAGTTGTTGGCCTCGCTATCACGATAGAAGCCACAGCTCTTAGCAGCTCCGTGGCCTGGGAGGGACCCTCCTCTCCTCTGTGAAACCAGGATGCTGTGAGGACGGGCTGGGCTGAAGGGCGGGGCGGAGGGGGGAGGGGGTAAAGGCAGCCGGGAGGCGGCAGCTACATGGAGTGTCCTGCATGACGACAAGACGGGCAAATCATCCCCCTTCATATCAGACTGTGGACGGACACACACTTTGGGTGGAGTGATAACAGGTCAGAGGCAGATCGGGGGATCGGTCTTGGTCCTTCCCCGGTTCTGCCGATGACTCGAGAGGTCCCACAGCTCCTCCCCAAAAGCTCCGCCGGACGCCAGCCCCACTGCGGACACGGCTCAGCTGGGTCACTAACCCTCCCCAGCGAGCTCCCCAGGCTGCTGGGGCAGGCGGGGCTCACGTAGGGTGCCAGCAGCCCCCTGGGCTCCCACAGGGAGCGACAGAAGAGACCGAGGAAAGTGGTGCCGAGGGAGACCCAGG